GAAGCCCACCAGCGGAGGGATGGCCCCGGCCCTGAAAATCTCCTCCTTCACGTTTGGATTCTCTCTGTCTGCGAGCGAGGCCTGGATCGCGAGCTGCGTCCCCGCGAGCGCTCCCACCGTTCTGGGGTCGTCAGCCCAAGGGTGCATCCGCTCCTCCACAGGGGGGTACTTGCAATGCAGGGGCTCGATTACGCAAACAAGGGGGGGGCATTAAACATGTGCGTTATTTCGCTGTCGTTGCGGATCCCCCCCCTGATCCTCAAACGCTTCGACCTTGGTCTTCGACGGGAGCAGCGCTACGAGACCCTTGTAATCGTTCGCCTCGTAAGCCTTATCGAACTTCTCCGCGTCGTCCCCGTTGGTCTTGATGCCGATGGACAGCGACCTCGACTCTCCAGGGCCATGAGGAGGTGAAGGACGAGGAGGAGGAGGAGGACGACTGGAGGAGGGATGATGAGGAAACTGGAGGGGAGGCAGCGACGAGGAAGGCCTGAGGAGGAGCAGGATAAGGACGAGGATGAGGAGGAAGAGGGGGGGAGGCGGAGGAGGAGGAGGAGGAGGAGGAGGCGGAGGAGGAGGAGGAGGAGGAGGAGGAGGGGGGAGATGACGCAGGATGAGAAGGAAGAGTTTAGGGGAGGGAGGGGGAGCAGAAGGACGACAAGGAGGACGGGGAGGAGCGAGAAGACCGACCCCTGACACAGCGCTGCTACCCTCTGGCCAGGCCCGCCCGCCCCCCAAAAAGCACGCGCTCCACAAGTGTCCCTGCTCCCCAGGAGGGCGGAGACCTCGGCTTCCCGAAGGCGGCCAGCGACTTGCGCTCGGGCTGCTGGGCCCCGCCCGCCGCGCCCGCCGCGGGCTCCTTGCGGTCCGTGCAGCACTTGCCGCCCATGGGCTCCCCCCCCCCCCGCGGGCGCCCCGCGCTGGCTCGACCCTCTGGCCCTTTCGGGGGGCCGGCTGCGAGCCGTCACGGTCGCAGAGCAGAAAGGAGGGGGATGGGGCGGGGGAGGGGGAGGGGGAGGAGGACAAGATAGGTGCGCTCGCGTCATATCTGACATCCCACCCCTCCCTCCCATCCCTTACCATGGCGCAGATCCCCTCTCTACTCGCACAGTTGGGTGTCAAGCAGGGCGACGATCCCGAAAGGGTACGCGATGCATTGTAGAGCACGGCGTGGCATGGCGTAGAAGAGCGCCGCGAAGCGTAGTATCAACCTGGCATTGCATTGCATGCCCATGGCACGGGAAATGACGCCAGCGCTGCAGCGGGAGCACGAGTCGAAACGAGCGGAAGCGCGGAAATGAGGCCAGCGCTTCAGCGGGAGCACGATTCGGAACGAGCGGAAGCACGGAAATGAGGCCAGCGCTGCAGCGAGAGCACGATTCGGAACGAGCGGGGCCCGAAAATGAGGCTGGCGAGAGCAACATTTTGGGAAAAATTGCAAGCGAAAACCTAACTCCGGGGAAGGCTTCCCAGGCGCCGGAAGAAGAAATTCAGCATTTTCAAAAGAAAATGTGTATTAGAATGGCCTTTTTTCGGCGCCGCCTCGGAACTCGATTTTCCGGTGAGGGCCGGAACCGGCTCCGGACCCGGCCCAGGCGCCGGCCCGAGCGCCAGCTCGGGCGTGCAGCCCGGGCGCCGGCGGAAATGATGCCAGCGCTGCATCGGGAGCACGACTCGGAACGAGCGGGGCCCGAAAATGAGGCCGGCGCTTCAGCGAGAGCAGCATTTTGGAAAAAAGTGCAGGCGAAAACCCAACTCGGGGAAACCTGTGTAAAAAAACAGTAAGCGGGGGGGGCGAATATTCCCAAGACGTCATCAGGGGAAGACGGAGAGTAGTATTCATATTGAGTAATTGTGGAGGGGGAGGGGAGGAGGAGGAGGAGGAGGAGGAGGAGGAAGGAGAGGAGGAGGAGGAGGAGGAGGAGGGAGGAGGAGGAGGGAGGAGGAGGAGGAGGAGGAGGAGGAGGAGGAGGAGGAGGAGGAGAGGAGGAGGAGGAGAGGGAGGAGGAGGAGGAGAGGAGGAGGAGAGGAGGAGGAGGAGGAGGAGGAGGAGAGAGGAGGAAGGAGGAGGAGGAGGAGGAGGAGGAGGAGGGAGGAGAGGAGGAGGAGGAGGAGGAGGAGGGAGGGAGGGAGGAGTAAGGGAGGAGTAAGGGAGCAGGAAGGGATGATGAGGAGGAGGAGTGCCCTGTCGTTGGGCCCTGTCGCCCTCCACCTGGGTGCTTAGAAAAACCTTCCCGATGGGCACGCCACCCTTATCTTGGTGGGCGGACATGTTGCCGTTAGGCCAAGCCCCAGAGGACGCCAGTCCTGGGACGGGTTTGGAGAGAGAGGGAGAGGAGGACGAGGAGGAAGAAGGCCCTGTCGCCAATTCCCAGATGGGCTGTCTGTCCCCCCCCCTCCCCCCCCCCTTATGGGTGTTTAGAACACCCTTCTCGATGGGTACGTCCCCCTGTCGTGGCGGGGTCACCGTGGACACCAGACCCAAAACGGGTTAGGAGGAAGAAGGGGAAGATGAGGAGGAGGACGACGACGGCGGAGAGACGGGGGGGACGGAGGGATGGCGGGGGGGAGGGAGGGATGGAGGGATGGAGTGAGGGAGGATCGTAGGGAGGGGGGCTGGAGGAGGACAGTCAGAGGGGCTGGAGGCGGTAAGGATCTCAGCCCGATAAACGCCCATGTCGAGGCCATTCGATGGGGGCTGTCCAGCGACAGTGGTGAAGGATGGACCGAAGAGGCAAGGATGCAAGGGTAGCCTTGGCAATGTTACCCATCCTTACCATTGGTTTCGACTGTACGACGGATCGCGTTGTCTGATATGTTGCTTTACCGAGTGGTTGGGGACCCACAGCATCTCCTGTGCCTGCCTTCCCTCTGCTCGGTCACTCAGTCGCACTGTTTCAGGCAATGCCATTAGCACAGAGTTGCGCTGCAACAGTGACGGCAGCGGTAGCAAACGGTGGTGATGCCTTGTAACCCTGCACTCCCTTCTCCGACGAGGGCCGAAGGGGTCGATCACCGCTCGGGTGCTTTGGGGGTGCGCTTTGTTCTCCAAGGAGTGCTTGCATCTAGGGGTTAATGCTTCTGCTCTCAGGAGTTGAGCTGGTGTGGCGGTGTGGCGGCCATGTTGTCGCCGTCGCCGCCCTGTCGCCACATCGTCGCCGCCTGTCGTCTGGGCTGGTGTGGCGGTCTCGCGGCCATTTTGTCGCCGTCGCCGCCCCGTCGCCGCCTCGCCGCTGCCCGTCATCTTTGCCTGTCTGGCGTTCTGACAGCTATCTCGTCGCCGTCGCCGCCCCGTCGCCGCCTCGCCGCCGCCTACATAGCTTGAACACCGCATCGATTGCACAATATAGACTGCGCGCCACATCTATAGCACCACATTCATTGCGCAGCCCATCTATTGCGCATCACAAAGGTTGCACCACATATATTGTTTGAAATAGGTTGCATCACAAATATTGCACCGCATAGGTAGCACCACATAGGTTGCACATCATAGCTCGCACATCGTAGCCTGTAGACCATAGGCTGCACCACACACATTGCACAACCGAGCTTGCACTACGCACATGTGTATATATAAGACCATATCTATGGATCTACATATAATGCACAACCTGGATTGCACCACAGTTCTTGCCCAACACTGGACTGCGCCACCTATGTTGCAACCCACCTACTACACAAGGAGTGTAGCAGACCACATAGATTGCACCACCTAGGTTTGCACATCGCATATAATGCGCACCACATAAATTGCGCACCACATAGATTGCACCACAGATATTGCTCTACATAGGTTGCCTCACCTAGATTGGACCACACAGTGGGCATCACGTATATTGCACACCATGTAGTGCAAATCGTAGATTACACAACATACATTGCACCACACTTATTACTCCAAGTTGATTTCACCGCATATATTGTCCCACGTAGAGATCACCACATCTATTGCTAGAAGCACACTGTGTTGGGTCCACGATGGCTAACAATTTACTTTGACAATGCGACCGATGTGCGGTACGCCAGCAACGGTAATGTCGGGGTCCAAAAAGTATGCATAATTGGGAATTGCAGCGAATCTAAGGGGAAGGAGGAAGAGGGAGGAGGGCAAAGGGGGGAGATGAACAGGAGGAGATGGGGAGGAGAAGGGGAGGAGAAGGGGCGGAAAACGAGGAATACACGGGAGAATATGGGGATATAAAGAAGCAGGACAAGTTGAACGAAGGAGGGGTGAGAAGGAGGAAGGAGGAAGGAAAGGGGGATTATGGACCAGCAGGAGGAGTGGGAATGGGAGGGTGAGGAGGGGCTGGGAGGAGCCACCACGCCAAGACTCGTTGCTCCAGGACGGCGGAGGTCCGCCCGCGACACGCGTTCGCTGAACCGCCCGCGACGCCCGCGCCGGTGCTCGCAATGCAGGCGAGGAGGGGCGGCGTCGAGAGCCGATGCCAAGCGAGATAGGGAGGGACCTCGATGATCCGGGAGGCCGGGCGCGGATGGGCGGCATCAGGTCTCGAGGAGGATCGAGGAGGGAGGAGGTCGAGGACCGAGGAGGGCGAGGAGGGGGAGCACCGAGCGAGAAGGCAGGCGAGGAAGGACAATGCCCCGTCGGGCGAGGCGGGAGAATAGAGCCCCGAGGAGGGCGAGGCGGGCGAGGAGGGAGGAGGAGCGATGAACGAGGACAGAAAAGTTCGAGGGGTTGGAAATTGTTGGTCCTTTTAGGGGGGGGTCTCCTGGAGCGTCTGGGGGACATCAGGGACCTTCAGAGGCCTCTGGACGCCTTCGGGGAGGGAGAGGTAGAAGGAGAAGGAAGATGAGGAAGACAAGTTTCATTGGCTGGGGGGAGGAGGAGGAGGAGGAGGAGGAGGAGGAGGAGGAGGAGGAGGAGGAGGAGAACGAGTTTCGATGGCCATCTACTTCTGCTGAGGAGGGAAGCGAGGAGGCGGAGGATGAGGGCCGACAGGAAAAAAAGGGCCGCCGCCCGAAGCGAGAACCTCTCCTCAGGCGGCGCCCAGCAGCGTCAGCACCTCGTTTGCGGAGTTCTGCACCTCCAGGAGGGGGCGGCAGGGGGCATAGGAGGAGAAGGAGGAGGATGAGGAGCTCGGGAGGGAAGAGTGCGAGGAAAAGGAGTAGCAACAGGGTGTCGTTGGGGGAGCGAGGAGGAAGGATGGCGAGGAGGAGGAGGAGGAGGAGGGGGAGGAGAAGGAGGAGGCGGAGGACAAGAAGGAAGAAGAGGAGGAGGGCGAGGAGAAGACGGGGTGTAGAGGGCGAGGAGGAGGAGGGCGAGGAGGAATGGGAGGATATGGAGGAGGAGGAAGAGGAGGAAGCGGGGGAGGAGGAGGAGGAGGAGGAGGAGGAGGAGGAGGAGGAGGAGGAGGAGGAGGGCGAGGAGGAGGCAAGGAACCCACCGAGCCTTACTTTGCATCGACCTTTGCATGATCCTGCCGCGAATGCGCAGACTACTCCACCACCAACAGACGCAGATGCAATCGTGATCAATTGCGGAGCCCACCCACCATTACTAATGAGAATAACGCAGCTGAAAGTACCTACCCGTCAACCATGTGTCGCCTACGAGCAATACTATTACAACGCTGCATTGGGTAACGGTGCGCCACCAACGAAGAGGACGGATAACGAGAGTTACCCGAACAATCCGCCGACGTATGCACTCCACTCGACGCATGTACTTTCACACGCAGCGCCAACTTCATGGCATACTGACATCCACTCCCCGACGAAGCAATCAACTCTATCCAATCACGTACGCGACAGATTGCCCTTTGCACATACCGCATCTCTGATCTGGATTACCCGCCACGGACGTCAGTCACCAAGCCGAACCGACCGAGTCAGTCAATCTTCACAACGTATCCCTGCTCAGTTGCCGCATGATGTACACCCGACTAGAGTAGGCGAGAGCTCCACAGCTCCATGTTACTCCCTGGTATGCCTCGCCACAACAATTCTTGAAACGCTAAACTCAGGAGGCCGGGCCGCAGGGGAAACTCTATCACACATGTCCAAATCCACCTCGGTGAGGCGATGAACCGTGCCCAGCACCAACAAGCCTCAACGAAGAAGGCGCTGCCCCAGTCGACTACTCCAGCCGACTGGCCGCCAGATCCCCAGGCCCCCTCAAGGGAGGGCAACGACGTCATCAGCAGCAAGCACCCATGACGTGAGCCTTCTGCCGACGATGGGCATGCAAAGGGGCCGCTACCGGCCGCGGTCCGCGCAGGTCTGCTTCGGACAATGGGACAGCACGACCACCTCCCTTCGACTCCAGCTACAAACAGTACAATGTACCGCACGGGCAACTGCACACAGCCTACGCCAGCATCAACACCAACAGCGCACCCTGGCCAGCACCACGAACCAAATAGCAGACGCCACACCACTCGGCCATTCCAGCCCGTTGGCCACCGAGTCCCCAGAGCCTCATAGAGGAACGCAACATTCACCACTGGCTTGAGCCTGCTGCCGACGTTTGGACATACCCGCGGTGATTTGCCAACCGCGGTCCGCACAAGTCTATTGCCGATAGCGGCACGGTCCAGGCACCATGCATTCTATTTCAGCTCCTATAAGATACCCCGCCATCATCACAAAATATCTGGGCGAAGGACCCGACCAGATGCAGTTGTGAGCGCCGTCGTTGCAGGCATCGCCTTCGGGGGATCTCCTCATGGGGCCATAAAGCATGCGAAGGGTGTGCTGTTATGGGGCGGGGCGGCAATGTGGGCGCTGCTACTGGGGCTTCAAGTGGAACCCACTATGGTGCCGCGAAGCGTGTGAAGGGTGCGCCCCACTGGGGCGGGGCCGCCATTGGAGCCTTCGGTGGAACTCCCTATGGGTCCTCGGAGCGCTGGACTGAGCGGGGAAGACGCATGCGAACACCGCCACTGGGGCCTTCGGTGGAGCTCTCCCTGGGGCCACAAAGCGCTGTACTGGACGGGGGATACGCATGCGAGCACCACCACTGATTCCTTCGGTGGAGCTCTCTATGGGGTCACGAAATACTGTAGTGGGTGGGGAAGACACATGCGAACACCGCCACTGAGGCCTTCGGTGGAGCTCCCTCTGGGGCCGCGACGCGCTGTACTGTGTGGTAGAGCCGCATTGGAACACCGCCAGTGGGGCATTCGGTGGAGCTCCCTATGGGGCAACGATGACTTGTACTGGGCGGGGGAACAGCATGCGAACACCGCCACTGAGGCCTGCGGAGCTTCCGATGGGGCCACAAAACGCTGTATTGGGTGAGAGAACCGCGTGCGAACACCGCCACTGGGGGTTTCGGTGGAGCTCCCTCTTTCGCCGCTGCGAAATTTCGGCCAAAATGCAGCGCCTCCCGTTAGGCAACGGAGCCCCGGTACAAGGTTGTCAGTGTTGCGCCCACGACAGGAGAGGAGACGTCAAATGGGCTGAAGTCTCGGGCGGAAGCGCCTTTTCGAATTCGTGCCCGACGGTTTCGAAATCCAATCGAGATCTTTTTGTTGGAGGAACTCTTGGGCAGGAGCGCCATTTGGAAATCGAGCCCGACAATTTCGAAATCTCGCAACTGTTCTTGGAGGGCGTCTCAAGCGGAAACTACACTGTCGAAATCTCTGGTCAACGGTGTGGCCATTTCGAAAAGAAGGCTCCATTTGAGACCTCCTCAAAAAACAATTTCAAAGACTTCGAAATTTCCGGGCTCGGTTTCGACATGGCGTTCCCTCCCAAAACTGCCTCCAAACTAGAATTCGAAACCTTTCTGGCTTGATTTCGAAATGGCGCTCCCGTCCAGGACTTCCTCCGAAATAGAATTCGGAGCCTTTCGGGTTCGATTTCGAAATGGCGCTCCCGCCCAGGACTTCCTGAAGACTGGTGTTCGAAGTCATTTTGGTTCGATTTCGACATTGCGATCCCGCCCAAGACTTCCTCCAAAGCAGAATTCGAAACCTTTCGGGCTCGACATCCACATGGCGCTCCCGCCCATTGCGCTCCCGCCTGGGACTTCCTCTGCAACAGCGGAACCTATCCGGTGCAGGATCGGGGCCCTGTTTCCCCACGCAGTTTCCTCCAAAGCAGGCCGCCCGCAGGGAGCGTGATGGTATTTTTTCACCGCTGCACCGTCAGATGCGTCGCTGGGTCGGAATGCGCGTTTTTTCCAGGTTGCCGCCCCGTGGACATGTGATCACTTCATGGTGTGACCGTTGAGGATTTGGCGAAGTGCATTCCCCAACCTACAAATCTTGACGCTTCGCGTTCCTCCCGGGCCATGCAGACATTCCCCCGGCGAGTTGCCTTGACAAAGGGATTGCAGCAGATTGCCGTCCAGAAATGAACCGCATACTGACGCATGTACTCGTAAATCTTTGCGCGGAGGAGGGGGGAGGAAGGGGGAGGTAATGATTAGGGGGGGGAGGAGGAGAAGCAGCAGGAAGAGGAGCAGGAACATAAAATTACCCTGGCGACGTACCCAACCCCTGCGCAAAAGCGGGGCGCAAATAGTTTAGGATACTTTATAAGGGGGCGATGACGGAGCGAGGGTTACATATGTCTGCAGACGGAATTCGGGAGACTCGCAGGACACTGGCTACAGGAAAAGGGCTTGATAAAGCTGATGATTTACAATTCCTGAGCACTCCTAGCCACTTCGAAAACGGGGATCACAGCAGGCCTCGAAAGTGGCGACAGGTTCACAGATCGCAGCCCCGCAGGGATGGCGAGGTCTCATTTGAATCTGCCCGTGGCCCTCACTGTGCTGGGCCCCCCAGCAGGCCTCGAAAATGGCGGCAGTTTCGCAGATCGCAGCCCCCCAGGGATGGCGAGGTCTAATTTGAATCCGCGCGTGGCCCTCACTGTGCTGGGCCCCCCAGCAGGCCTCGAAAATGGCGACAGTTTCGCAGATCGCAGCCCCCCAGGGATGGCGAGGTCTAATTTGAATCCGCGCGTGGCCCTCACTGTGCTGGGCCCCCCAGCAGGCCTCGAAAATGGCGACAGTTTCGCAGATCGCAGCCCCCCAGGGATGGCGAGGTCTAATTTGAATCCGCGCGTGGCCCTCACTGTGCTGGGCCCCCCAGCAGGCCTCGAAAATGGCGACAGTTTCGCAGATCGCAGCCCCCCAGGGATGGCGAGGTCTAATTTGAATCCGCGCGTGGCCCTCACTGTGCTGGGCCCCCCAGCAGGCCTCGAAAATGGCGACAGTTTCGCAGATCGCAGCCCCCCAGGGATGGCGAGGTCTAATTTGAATCCGCGCGTGGCCCTCACTGTGCTGGGCCCCCCAGCAGGCCTCGAAAATGGCGACAGTTTCGCAGATCGCAGCCCCCCAGGGATGGCGAGGTCTAATTTGAATCCGCGCGTGGCCCTCACTGTGCTGGGCCCCCCAGCAGGCCTCGAAAATGGCGACAGTTTCGCAGATCGCAGCCCCCCAGGGATGGCGAGGTCTAATTTGAATCCGCCCGTGGCCCTCACTGTGCTGGGCCCCCCAGCAGGCCTCGAAAATGGCGACAGTTTCGCAGATCGCAGCCCCCCAGGGATGGCGAGGTCTAATTTGAATCCGCGCGTGGCCCTCACTGTGCTGGGCCCCCCAGCAGGCCTCGAAAGTGGCGACAGTTTCACAGATCGCAGCCCCCCAGGGATGGCGAGGTCTAATTTGAATCCGCCGCGATTACCCTCTATGCAGGACCCCCCAGCAGGCCTCGAAAGTGGCGACAGTTTCACAGATCGCAGCCCCCCAGGGATGGCGAGGTCTAATTTGAATCCGCCGCGATTACCCTCTATGCAGGACCCCCCAGCAGGCCTCGAAAGTGGCGACAGTTTCACAGATCGCAGCCCCCCAGGGATGGCGAGGTCTAATTTGAATCCGCCGCGATTACCCTCTATGCAGGACCCCCCAGCAGGCCTCGAAAGTGGCGACAGTTTCACAGATCGCAGCCCCCCAGGGATGGCGAGGTCTAATTTGAATCCGCCGCGACCCGCTGGGCCCCCCAGCAGGCCTCGAAAGTGGCGACAGTTTCACAGATCGCAGCCCCCCAGGGATGGCGAGGTCTAATTTGAATCCGCC